ACTGTTGTAGAATGGAATGCATAGCAATTTGAATTTTCTTTTTGACTTGGGTATGTGAGGTTGACTCACAGCAAGATATGTAAAGCAAAAAAAAATGTTTGAAATAATTTATTTGCGATAAATCGAGAAAAACCTAGCAGTGGTAATTGTCTCATCTTGCCCCGGCACAGTGAGGCAAAATGAGACAGGCTATAATTATACTTATTTTAATAGAATTTTAGAACTAATTATAAAATACATGTTTCAAATCATTTTTAAGTTCAATGTCACACACACACAGGTCACACTGGCTGCGGTAACAGTACAGCGTTCTTCGTGACACCATTGTTTGCATTGTGAACAAGTCATCCATCCTCGTTAGGCATTGACTTTGACCAACGTTCACCACAAAAAGATAAATTTTTTAGCCTACCATTGACTCGGCGATTTAATCCCTGTAGGCATTTGAAGCTTTCGTATCGACAGTTCTTCTCAACTGCAGAGATGGCAAGACGGATTTGATCCTCATTCCAGTTTGCACATTGAGTTTTGCATACATAGTTCCTGACCGTCCTAAATAAAATAAAAGTTAGTTTGATTTGTGACATGGACTAAGCTGTTTATAGCATAAAATATATGACATATGAACTTATGATAAATTGTAGAATAAAAGTACATATTGATTCAATCAGAAACATAAACCCTTTAACTTTCGCAAGCAGGAGAAAGTGGTATTAAATCAACAATTGAGGAATATAATACAGATAGTACTGGTAATAATCCAAGATAGTATTTATATCATATATATTAAGAGATTGACAATAAGGTAGAGCACAGTAAAAGGTGAAATGATCAGCAACACACTGAATAAATATATATTACTTGGTTTAGACTCAGCTGTCTCATTTTGCCTCAATGGTATAAGCTCAAGTCAGTCAAATAAACACGCCAAAAATCAAAGTATAGATGAAAATTGACAAAAATACCACGTGTGACTTGAAAGACCATGTTATAAACCCCATCAAACAAATAGGTTTTATTCGATACATGCGATGTTCTAGAAATAACAACCGGTTAGCTAAAATAGCTAAGTAATAACGTACCTTTAATTGCCGATCGATCATCCAAATTGGTTTAAAAAATCGTTATTTTCTCGTTGTTTTTGTGCAAATTTAACACAGTTTTCGACGAAGTATACAAGCAAAAATGTTTGTTATTGAGCCTGCGATGATTGTGGTATAAATAATTAAGTAGAACGTCATATAAGTGCGAATGAGTCGGAGTGTCTCATTTAGCCTCACTGTCTCATTTTGCCCTGCATTACCCTACATCCGTATGCATGGCTCGCTACAGGAAGAGTATAGGACCGGACCAACCACATTTGGAATGAGGGCACAGAAAACCAACACTGCCACAACAATAGAAAATGTCTTGACTGCTTTATGAGCGCGAAAAAATCGATGTATAGCAGACATTTTGTTTGCAGGTTGTCCATTGGAAGTTGTAACGGGTAGCGCTGTTTCAACCAATTGCAAGATACGTTTTCGCTGTTTGTTCGCAACAATTAAAATCAGGATATTAATAATTATTATTACAGTAAGTGGTACGTAGCCAAAAAAACTATAAATAAAATGATTATATATATTAAAGTTCTTAATATCGCAAAAGTGTCTTAATCCTAACTGATATCTATAACTAACTAGAAAAACAACGCAAAAACAGCACGCAGTCAGCCAAATTCCTGAAATAGCCAGAAAAACGCGTCGTTTGGTCACAATCAGCGGATACTTCAGAGGTTTTACAATATATAAATATCGATCAACAGTAATGGCGAGGAGTGCGGCCATTGAAGCAAACTGCAATGACCAGAGGGTAGAACGACTTAATTTACAAAACAGATCCTGATCACCATCAATGTTTAACATAGTCTGTGTAAACTCGACGATCCATATTGGATAAAATGTTAAACACACGAGAAGATCTGCCAGTGCTAAGTTTCCTACCAAGTAAGATGTCGCTGTCTTTTCTTTGCTCGAGAAAATTGTATAAATTATAACTGTGATATTTCCCAAAACTCCAACAATCATTGCGATGAATTTAAATGCAATCGATGGAAGAAGAATCTCACTAGGTAATGTGGTGTTTGCCATGGGTTGTATTTTGAGAAATATAAAGAAAAGAATGCGAGTTTAAAGTTTGTAATATGCCACTGGATGTCGGTTGAGAACGACGAAGACGACAAACACCTCAGAGTCGGAATAACGTTAACATGCTGAGTTTGTATAACGCGGTCATTAACTACTTGAAACGAGCTTAAAAATATGTCAAATTTCTGATCGAGTGTATACATCTGGCTTGCTTTGGCTCATCGCTTACACCTACAGCGAAAAATATAATATTGTTCGTTCAAGTTTATAGAGTATAGAATTCGTGCAACTGAACTTAATAATGAGTAGTAGTAATACACCTGCTCGAAAATTCACTGAAGAGTTCAATTTCACACAAATATCACAAAATGGAGTTTTAATTTATTTCAAGTAAAGCAGACAGTGTGACCAGATGTTTGTCAGCGGATTTTACTAAACCTTTGCTAAAATTTTACTAAATTGGCCAAAATTTTACCAGATTTGGATTTTATCCATCCCACTCCAGGGGGGGGGGGGATTAATGGATAGTATTTTGTCTGAATCAGTTTCGGAGTCTGATTCAGACAAAATACTATCCATTAAATCCATATTTTTAAATGAGCCAGCGATATGAAATTTTATAGCAAAAGCAGAAGTTTAAAAAACACGAATAAAAAACTTTTTGGAAATTTTTGTCGGAATTCCATTAGGTAAATGCGTTTCCTGTCACCTTTATGCTGTTATAATGTTATTGTGATATTTTAAATCATTTTCACTGCTTTCTTTGAGGACTTGTTGTCAATGAAAACACAATGCATAATAAAACAGTTATTGAATTCGGTTTTTGTGATATCCTGAATTATTAAGGGATCAGTAAGTGTAATCTCGCCTTCGGCTCTTGACTTGGATAATTCTGGATCCGCACAAAAACGGCGAATTCAATAACTGTTTATTATTTGTGCAGACAAATGATGCTTTTTATATTGACCATTATCATGCAGGTCGTTGATCGAGTTAAGTTGGGAATGTTGCCCGAGTTAAGAAAAGCGCGCAAAATCACTCGCCTTCGGCTCGTGTTTTCGCGCGCTTTTCTTAACTCTCGCAACATTCCCGCATGTTTGGATCAGTCCGTCCAAACACGGAAACCATAAAGTAATTGTGTAGTAACTGTAATACGTCTTTGATAATGGCTGCCGTATAGGTAGCCGAAACGTCAGAAACAATTAAAAAATTTAATCTGGATGATCGGAAAATAAATTAAATTACTGGAAGAACCCGGATTCAAGCCCTTCAGTGAATATTGAATAATGCTCATTACATTTATATACGACGAAATGTTTCTGGGCCTTGAATGGGTATGACACGTACATACTAAGACCATCTATTTAATTTATATTTTGAAATTCGATCAATTCCATCATTACAACATAACCATAGGAAAATAACAACACGCCGAGGCGAAGGCAACCAAGCCGTACAGATTTGGCAAATGTGCTACTGACCACTGACAAATGTGCTACTGACTAATCTTATTCACCTGAGTACATTACACCAACACAGCAAATAACAATGAAACTAAACGTATTTCTTCTATAAACACGATAGCAAATTTATAGCTTAGCCTTAGCTGATGTGGTGGTATAGACCTAAATATCACAAACAAGATCTATATATAAGAATTACCTAACCAATTCAATTATTTTCAATCAATGATATTGCATACGTCCAAACCTCTAGACCTTCCTAGAACACATCGTTGGAATGTAAGAATGTTTGCGGACTCAAGTGCCATTTCTGGTCACTATAGTGCTCCCCCTCCCTCCCCCACATTAGAGGCAGGGTTTCAGTCCAATTTACTGGGCCAGCGCGTCAGCATATATCAACAGGCACTTGGGCATCGTTGACATTGTTAAAAAATGTTTTATTAAAAATATTATAATTAAGAAGCCAGTACTTGAAAACAGGTGTATCACGTCCAAGGTTCGAACATTTTCTTCAATAAAGTAAATTGTCACAAAGTGCGGGTCAGACTATAATCAGCATAGTCTAGAAATGGTGCCGAGTGTAGACTGATTTCCTGTATTTTAAATTTTCCCCCTAAAACTGAAAGATGTTGGAGGAAAAGTTTTGAGAGAGTTGTCCTGCTGCAGCGATAAGGTTGCTAGGCAACCCGTTGGTAGTTCAAATGCAGATATGACATCATAATATTAAAAGGTACATCCTTGGAAAGGATGTACCTATAGTGCTTCATTTTCGTGTAAGTGGCATTGGTTAAAGCCTGACGTCTCAATCACGAAAACGACGCTCTGGAACTTGATGTGATATAACAAGAAAAGGTTTCAACGTAGAGGGCATTCAATCGCGTTCAATCGCGTTTAAACGATGATCTAGAACATATTCATCAATGATTATTTTGTGTGTGTTGGTGTTAAAATTGTGATTTTTATAAAATCAAGCATGTAAACAATTTAACTTTAAATTTGTTGCCTTTTTTGTGTTTTCGTTGTCCTTTTCCTCCAGTAAAGAAAACAAATCGCTTTCCGATAGCTCGTCAAAACGAGCCATGTTGACATTTCAAAAGAGAAGACGATATTTTTAAATTTAAGCTGACGAATCAATCAAGTGCGCATGCTCAATGAAGTATTTGCACCTGCAATTATTTGCACCTGATCGATATTTGCACACAATTATGCAGGTAAATTAACCAATCAAAATTGAGAATACTAAAAAGTGAATCATAATACCTATTATTATGCGCTCAGCATGCCATTGACCAATCACGAGTCTTCAATGGGTCACGTGCATGTCCGATATTTTAATTATGATGTAGGACAGTGCATATTGAACACCTTAAATATATGAAGATTTCAGGAAGCAGTTGTTTCTCAGGATTAGGCCAAGTTGTCAGTTCTGTGAATTGTCAAAATATCGCCATACTTAGAGTCTACGAATACAGTACTATATAATAATATAACAATTATTCTACTCACTTTCGATCGTCGATTACGACTGCTATCGGCTCATATACGACTCGAATTCGCAGCATAACTGTTAAGTAATATCATGCGTAAGTCGAGTCCAATAATTTTTTTATTATGCAAAAAACCTACAAGAAAGCCAAGACTGGCTAGCTGCCTCGTCCCATTTACTCGTAACAATTGCAAACATATTGACATAGCCGATGTAATGAGCAGTGCTATATCTCTGCAATAAGAAAAGACTGATTGGCATACTGTATAGCACGCAGAATTCAAGAAGGCTGCAGACTATTTCACATGCATCATCGACAGTCACTTGGCCACAACACTAGTCGTCATGAGTGGAAACCCGGCAGTGGTTCGACTGTACCTAACTTTAAAACTGAAAAGAAAAACTTTAGCAAAAACCAAACTTTTGCCCAATGATATTTTCACATCAAAATTGATCCTATTTTTACGAATTTCAAGTATTAAAATATGTTTCTAATGTTCCACGTCTTCTCACGTCAGTGGTCCAGCAGTGAAATCCTCCGCCCAGCGACATGGCATACGTAATATCCACAGGGATACACTCGATGCCAAGATCCTCAAACATCTAAAACAAACGATAATCGTAGATCACACAATGTTTGCATTGCGAATACGTGAGTTTGAGCTATGTATTTTATGAGTCAACTTCAAATGACATGTGTTCACGACAGCTAACAGATGGAATGCGTGACAGTTTACACAAAAGCCCCACATGTCATAATTCGATATCATAATTTGAAGAATTTACCAGAAACATTATTATGAAATATTAACAAATTATTTCATACCCAATAATAAAATACATGAGCATGGCACAAGGAATGCAACTAAGCTTCACAAGACTTATAAAAGAACGAATTATGTAATCCATACTCTTTCTAACAAAGGAGTTGATGTTTGGAATAACATAGCATCTAAATTCAAATTTATTTTCTCTTATAAATCATATATTCAACAATTGAGGTATAATGGTTTAAAATATATTATCACTTTCTTTACTGTAAATATACGTATATAGTATCCTCCACTTCGAATATATATAATTAAGTTTATATGCATGTTAATGTTTTATTTTATACTTGTTACATATTATTCGAACTGACTAAATAGAATGAAGTAATGTAAGTATAGTCTATAGGGGTCTTAATTAAAAAGCCTAGTAGGTTTCTAGAAGGCTCCTAGCCTATCCAAAACAATAGAAAAATAAATGTAAGTAACTTGATATTTTTACGGGCGTAATAAAAAACCAAAAAAAAACAAAAAAACCCGTCGACAGTATTCCCACCGACAAAATCCCCCCGACGACGAAACCTCCAAATTACTGAATTCAGACAAAAACCCTCATTTCTGTTGATCAATTTTTTAAATTTATCAGAACAAACTTTTTAACACAATATATTCAATATAATTTGTATAGAACAAGTGGAAAAAATACTGTAAAAATAAATAAGAGTAAAGAGAAGGAATATGAAAAAATTACTGTTCATGTGACTAACGAATTCGAATGTTGTGATCGACGCCGTGTTTGCCCCCAACGTCTTGTATCCATGTCTAAAGTCGACACATAGGTTTCTTAATTGTTACTGTAGGTCTATTTTTGGTAGTTTTTTATATTTCACTCAGGACTAAAATTTAGGGTTTTATCTGAATTCAGTAATTTAGGTTTTCGTTCGCCAGGATATTGTCGGTGGGGTTTTTTCGACGGAATTTTTGTCATATGGGGGTTTTATCGGTATCTCGAGTTCCACTGTCCATGTGTTGGACAATCACACTTCGTGAAAGTTCTAATCAATCTGCCAAAAAACTAGGAAAATCAATTAAGCATAATTCAAATATTCAATTAGATTAGCAAACTTAATATTTTTAACATTTTAAAACATTTTGCGTTGCATGGTAGCACTGCGATTCGTGCAATTCAGGGTTCGAAATGTTCCCAAGTTGATTTCATAGTAGACATCTCCTGAATCTCCAGTCAATTTAATAAGGTGAAAAATGTTATCCTCTCCAGTGGACGATAGAATTTTACTTGGGTTCAATGTGTTTTTTTTTTTACCTTTGTGATCAAATCGTCATCATGCAAGCACGATTTGTGGCTAAAATATGTTTTTTCCCCCTTCTTGAGGTCAAACTAGCGAATTCAATGCTCAGAATGCTCAGTTCAATGCTCAAAATTCAATGCTCAATGCTCAGAATTCAATGCTCAGAATTCAATGCCCTCTTTGAGGTCAAACTAGCGCTCAGAATTCAGCCCTTTCATTTTTAACTACACCTCTGACTGTTATGTTGGCCTACCTTTTGTGTTGTATATTCATGCTTTGAAACGACCACCCTCTTCGGATTCAACATAAGAACATTCATTGATAACCATTTAGATGACATCCATAAAGGATGATCATCAGAAATCAATGGTGTTGGTGGTTTAATCACTTGCCATCCTGCTTTGTGAAACATATCTATTTCACGGCAGGGACGATCGGGGTTAGATAGGACGAGACCAGGTCCAATCACGTTGAATGTAGCATCGATATGCAGGGGATTAGGATCTTCAAAAGATACAGTATGAACTCTGTAGCCTTTTGGAGCCAAATGTCGTCTCATCCATTCGATACCGAAGTTGTTGGTCACCTAAAGATTTTCATTAATTATGGAAGAGTCATTTCGTCGATTGGTAAGTCGAACGTCAGTCATCTGGTGTCAGGCGGGCGGACAGTCATCAGTCGATTAAGTCGGTCAGTCTAGAATCGATCAGTCAAGTCAGTCGGTGTCGATCGAATCAGTCGGTCGTCAGTCGAGTCGTCGGTCGATCGATCGGTCAGTCGGTCGATCGGTCGATCCTCGATGGGTCGATTGGTAATGCAGGTTGATTGGTTGAATGTCGGTTGTGCATCATTCAAGTCGAGCGAGACAGTTGGTCGGTCAGTTGGTTGGTCGGTCGGTCGGTCGGTCGGTCGGTCGGTCGGTCGGTCGGTCGGTCGGTCGGTCGGTTGGTTGGTTGGTTGGATGGTCGGTCAGTCATCAGGTTGGTTGGTAGGTCCGTCACCAGGTCTAGTGGTGACAGTTAGTCGGTTGATTGGTTGGTCGATTGCCTGCTTGGTTGGATGGTCGATCAATCATCATTTTGGTTAGTGGATGGTCGGGCGTGTGGTCATTCAGTTAGTTGGTCGATCAGGAATACAGTTACCTGGCTACGTTGGGCAAATATGTCTGTCCCACATCTCATAAAATCCGCCGCGTCAAAGCAAATGTCATGTTCGGTGGTGATAAACTTTCCTCCTAGTACTAGCTTGTTACGCTCTTCATTTGGAAGGTTTGCAAATTCCTGTGAATACAGCAACAAAGACCAATGAGAATACGGTAGATTTTAAAAGAAACTTTAAAAGCAGATTCATAATTGTCATATTTCTGAAGAAGGGAGTTCTGCTGATCATCCTTATACTTTCAGACCTGTACTGATCGAATTACTAAGGACCTTAATAAATACTAGGGCGGTTCTGGGCAGGTGTGTCGGTCATTCTGTATTCATGGGGGGCAAGTTGGGTGCGAGCAGCATTTTTGCGACAAACACAATTTTTTCGACCGCCGGTGAAAATAAGCACTCCTAATTTCCTGAAATGGCATATTCATTCTCTCTAGTGTACACTATTGAAAAATTCTTAACATAATCCCTGAAGTAATAATTTTTCATATCTGAAAATTTCCCACCTTATCATACAGCGTGTCATCCATCAATGGTTTAGGAGCGACAGTCCAAGTTGCTCCAGCATGAAAATATTCTTTCATGAGATCTCGATAAGCTCTGTATTCAAAAAATCTTGATCTCCAACACATCGGTGCTTCGATAATCTCTTCTCCGACAACCAGCAAAATATCGCGAGGCATCGCCGCATACATTCCAGTCGACGTGAAATCAGGAGTTTGAAAAGTCTATAACAAAGATAGAAATCGGTCATTATTTCTGGAGGTGGGGGTTGGTGGCACAGAAGAGAAAAGGGTTGGGTAAACTAAAAATTTTGAGTGAGTAAAAGGTTGGGTAAATGAAAAACAAAACAACTCAAGGATTGGGTAATAAAAACTTATTATTGCGTTTCCAAATCATTGACTCACTAAAATATTGAAGACTAAAAGGCAATGTCAACAGTCATATATCAATACAATATGTAAATCAACCAGAGTCACTATTTTGATCATGTGCAAAGAAAGTACATGTGCAGACAACATGAAAATTTACACTGCAGAAAATTGCACAAGCAGTTTTCAAACTCATGTCAGAGAAGTGGTAAATAAATCCTTTTGTAACGTTTTTAGCAGGAGTGGGTATATATTCTTTAATTGATATTTTAGTTTGGTTAAATTTTTTTTACTTTTTAATGGTTGGATGAGGAGCATTTTTACCAAGTAAATCATTTCTCTTTGTGCATGCCATCCTCGACATAAATAGCGACTGGTTCTTTAATTGATGCTTTTTGATTGATTGTTTTCCTTTTACAGCGTTTTTCAAGAAAAATCATGGTTTCTCGATATCAGTACAAAGGAGACTTTGAAAACTTCATGAAATGGTGATGACAAAATATTGTATATGTAATGGCACTGTGGGTAAGTTTTGTTTTAAAAGAATATAATGAAAAAGATGGTAAATATAACTTTTTTTGCATTCGAAACATCAAACTGGACACTGGTTTGATTTCATGTAACGTAAAAGCTATCGCAATCAAATAAAGATCATAGCAATCATAAAGTGTTATATACCGGGTGGGGCAAAAACAAGTACGACTGTTTGATTTACAATGACTTAAAAAGTAAAAGAGCTATTACACTTAAATAAGTCACAGTATCATCTACGATGTTTAACTTAAATTTTGATATATGTCTTGTACCTTTTCATGCAATATGGACCGAGATAACTGTGTTTAAACAAAAGCAAACATTTTTGGAACCGCCGAGAATTAGGTAAAAAGGCACTATTAAAACCAATTGAATAACCATTACCATTTTCTCGCGATTGTTGTTTCAATTAGTGGGTTGGTTTGACGAGGTCAGTTGTTATTGGCTCACACTTTGTTGAAAGAAATTTCGACACGAGAGAGTATCTCCGAATCATTCGTTACAACGTTGTACAGAGAGACATTCGTGTTCAAAATATCGATAGGGATGACATGTGGTGGCAGCAAGATGAAGCTCCTTCTCATACCAGCAATGCAATACCTTCGAAAACAATTCCCTGGCTGCGTTATGAGTAAAGGTGATGACTGGCCTTTGCCATCGCTCCCCTGATCTAACAGTATGCATTTTTTTTTATTTGGGGCTATTTGAAACATAAAATCTAGAATGTGCCACATGATCAGCAACCACACAATTTGAGTATATATTAATATTTAATAAGCCATTTTTAGTTAATTTCGTCAGTTCCAAAAATGTTTACTCCTGTTTAAATGCATGTATCTTTTTCAATATGGCATCGAAATGTGCATGGCATATATCAAAATTTAAGTTGGATATTGATGAATGCCACTAAACTTGTTTTAGTGTCATTGCTCTTTTAGTTTTGCTTTTGCAGCAATTCAAACAGTCGTACTTTTTTTTGCCCCACCCAGTATGAAAATCTAAGTTAGTCTTTTCTAAATGCGATGATCTTTATTTGATTGCGATAAGTTTTATAGCTTTTACGTTACATGATATCAAACAGTGTCCAGTTTTTTGGGGGACACCCCACACCCAGTAGTTAGTTTTGTTTTCCCTAGAATCTCAATGTTTTCCTCGACTTCGACTCAGGAAACATTGAGCTGTCGAGAAAACTATTTCCTCTGGCAGCAGACATTATTAAGTGCATAATATTTACCTCGGTATGATCCAAGATCTTGGGTCTGCGCACAGTCACTCCCTCATGTTCCAAAACTCGGCAAAATTCCTCAATCTCCTCGACTGCTTTCGCGACATGTTCCTGTGGAAACAACTTGCCAGCATTTTGCTCGAAAAACGGTAAATGTTTCTCATAAGCGTTCGCTTTCACTTCCGCTGTGAATGGTGGAACGCAGGCACTTTCTGCTCGACCGACAATGATCTCTTCCAACGGATCCCACTCATTGTAGGAACATACTGGACTAAAAACGACAGATTTTAAAATTATTATTGTGCCAATTCATATGAACTAGAAAGATGGATCGGGTATATCTGCAGGACGTTGGGCAAAGCGTTATCTAATATTTCAGCCAAAAATACGCCCGACTTTTTGAAATAAATTGACTCTTTAAATCAATATGGTGTCTAGGGATGCACCGGTTATTATACCCGGCCGTATAGTGAGATAATCTCATTATCCGGTACTGATCTGGCCGGATACCCGATATTGTTTATACAATATCCAGGCCTTGATAATAAGGTTGATTTAAATTGATAAGGTTAAAACAGTAGAGGTGTTTAGGCATGGTAGAAAACACGGGTACAGGATAAACGGTTACCGGATAGACGGACACCGGATAGGCGGGTAAACGGGTGATATTTATCCGTCTATCCGGTATCCGTTTATCCGTCCATCCGGTATCCGTTTATCCTGTACCTTTGTTTTCTACAATGCCAGGTGTTTACCTATAGACTTTCGTAAAGTCCTTCGTCTTTGTTTGGAACAAAGGAATTTTCAAGGAAGTAATTTCTTGAAAAGTAAGGAATTTGCGGAAGTCAATTAAATATCACTCGCGCTCGCTGCTTCGTCGCTTGCTCCAGTGGCGGCGCCAGGGGGGGGGGGCAAGGGGGGGCAAATGC